AGGGAGAGAGAAAGAGAGTAGGGGTGGAGACAGAGAGAGGTTTGGGTCGAAGCTTATGATTGATATTTCCTAGTATTTTGGTTTTTTCTCTGATTTAGTTCTTATCCTGAGGGGGAGGGGAGGGAGGGGGGTACAGCATCACATCATACCAAAAAAACCCTCCCAATTACAGAATTGGACATATGTATTCTGTATGCAACAGTGTCTAGCCACTACTCCACAGATGTCAGTTGGGCTGTATTTTTTTTTTCAGGAAGTGAACAAAGTGAAGGAGGCCATCTACCCGTGCCTGATGTGTGCAGCGGCTCAAGCAAATGATGTCCCAGCTTTGGAGAAACTCAGATCTTCTGTGAGTTAAGAATGTAGAAAAACACATCTTCGCACATTTGTGATAAATGTCTTTCGTCTTCTTTAAAATTATCAAGCCCCCCGTATTGTACGATGCAGACCACAGGCATCTGTAGATGTTTTGCCATCTCATGCAGTAGACCTGTTTTCGATTCCTGTGTGAGCATTTATAACAGTTTTCTTTATATCTCTTTTTGAGCGTTGTATCCCTCTCAGCCCAAGGTAGCCCTGACAGGTATGGATTAACTCACTTTCCCTTGTATCTACGGGATGAGCCGGTGGCTGGATCGCGTGTATTAATGTGATGGGCTTTCTCGATCAATATCTTTGTTGTTTTTCTTTTACAAGCTACAGGAAGCCGCGAGCCAACAGTTGACCCTTTTGTTTCATTGTGTTAAAAATTTGGTAAAGTTGTGTTCGATACTCTCTTATCTGTGAACGGAAACAAAGTTGAGGTCGTTTTTAGAGTGGAGATAGCCTCTCAAGGACATTAATGAAACATGTTTGAAGTGTTCAAAGGATCTGATAATGAACTAGGAAGGCTAAAGCTCCTTCAATGTCCCACCAAATTCACCAGAAGCTGCTAGATCTATGGATAGGGTTATAGATTAGGTGATGAACAGTTGGAGTTGGGGAAAAGTAAAAGAAGGAATTAGAATAGCTTTATTCGAAGTCCAGTCGGAGTGATACACAAATCTAGTAGCTCTAGCTGTGGGAACTAGCACTATATCTTTTAGTTGCAGGTGTGACAATACACAAGGTGAGAAAATGACAGTGGTATCTCAGTGTAGACTTCAGACAGTGTGACTTAACCATCAAGTCAAGTTGCACACGATGAAACTTTTAACACTGATGTCTCTCTCTTGACCAAGGGCGGTGACCTGGGTATGGAGAACCAGGACGGACGGACGGCGCTCCATGTGGCTTGTCGACACGGCCACATCAACACGGTCCACTATCTCCTGGGACAAGGAGTCAGTGTGCACAAGAAAGATTACCGTGGGGAAACTCCGCTGGTAGGTCAATCTGATTGCCAGCTGTTCAAATGTACTAATATTAATTCCAAAATTTTTAATGTGTTTTATTGCAATTTCTTAATCTGTGGTACAGTTGCATGTTCTCAAGAATTATTTTGTCCAAATTCAAATTCTAAATGTAAAAAAAAAAAGCCAGAAAATGTACATTATGTAGATACATGCATGATTAGTTAAAGAGTGAAATAGTTTTTTTCCCTATCCTGACAAATTTTGCTCTATGGGTTTAAAACAGTTGAACAGCTTGCTGATTAATTTTTGTTTTACTTCTACCAGTGGGGTGCTTCAACTCTGCTTGTCAGGACCAGCCCGGGCTGGGTGGGACATGACTTCCCACACGACTTCCCAGCAGGCAAACAGAGATACTTGATAAAAGACTTAAATGCCTGGGAGTCAAAAACTCGCTTATTCTACTTGTGATGGCAAAGTATCTGTACAAAATATGGGTGCTTGAAAGACACCACTAGTATGTCCTATTATTTTTCGTTCCCTCTGTTCTGCATTTTTATTCATGCAGTATTTACAGGGAAAGTTTTGAAATACTACTTATGGTCAACCGTTTTATATGGTTGTGAATGCTGGACAATCACTAAAGACAGTGAAAATAAGCAACAGAAATATGGTTTCTTAGGAGACTGCTGAGAATATTGTGGAAGGAAAAGAAATCAAATGAGGTAGTAATTTAAGAAGCTCACTTTTAAAAACAATCAGGAAACGACAAAAGCAGTGTTTGGGACACCTGAATAGACATAAAGGTCTTGAACATCTAGCTCTCACTGGCAAAATTGAAGGCTAACGTAGCAGGGGTATGCTCAGAGCAACCTAATAAGGGAACCTAAACAAATGGGTGATGGGTAAAGATCAGAGAAATGTAGCTTTTTTAAGAGCATCCGAGCGAAGGAACGAATGGAGAACCATGATCGCCGATATCTGGATGACGATTGTTTACGGGGTAAAAGTCTAGTTGATGTCTTCCTTCTTAGAACCAAGTTAAAATCTGTGTGTAACATGTGTCTGATATTGTCATAGATTTTTGGGAAGACCAACGTAAGAGCCACTGTGTGCGGTTGGCTGGAGGTTGTTACCTTTGGCAGCTGCTACCTCCTTTAGTTCCCTCGGATGTGTTTGTTTGTCTGTCTTGGTTTTTCCTTGCGCTAAACGGCCATTATTGTGTCAATGTCCTTCACTTTGCTCAACTCTCAAACAGCCACTCTCTGAAAACAGGCTTTTTTTTTTTTAAGATGTCTGAAAATAAAGGAATGGCATTTTGTCAAAGTCATTCCTCAACTTCATAAGTCATCTTTTGAAGTTTTGAGAAAGTTTTTAAAAAATGTATCGCCAGATTTAAACCGTGAATACAGTATTTCTGTGATTTTTCAATTAAAAACTTGGAAAAAAATGATCTCACAAGATTTTGGTAACCCCCAGAAATTGATTTGGGCGATTGTGGAATGCTGTGTGGAAGATTTTAAAATTAACATTGATACATGGCAGGTGAATGACATCTGTCTGTAATTATCTGTTGTGTTCTAGAGATCTATGTTTTCATTTCTTTCATTGGTTGGAAGGCGCCACCCCAAGGTGCTACTTCTGTTCCTTCCCTATATTGTTCCTATTTGTCTTGTTTGCTTTCTCCCCAGCACTTATGGACTGTGATTTTGTCAATACGCTTTTTAAAAACTCAAACAAGCTTTTCCCCCTGCCGCTACTACATGATGTATACATTTTCAACGTGCTTTTCTTTCAGTTTTAGTAAGGGTTTACCGCGCTCGCAACTGCATAAGGTCATATGAGCGCCATTGCTTTTCTTTACTCAAACAAGCTTTTCTCTGTTATTGTTGAGACATACTATTCTCCATAAATGACATCTAAAAATTAAGAAGTGCATGTCACATTGTTCTCACAGATTGATGCTATAGAGGGAGGCCACCCAGACATCATCAGGTTGTTGATTAAGACTGGATCCAGCATACCTCTCCCAGAGGGCCAAGTGGCAGTGAGAATGTGCAGGTCTGAGATTTGATGTCTGTTGTTAATAATTTACATTTTTTCCTACTGAAAATTGAACTCTCGTCTTCTGCATTTAAGATGAAGAGCTTAACTGTTACAACACCAAAGACACTGGTCTTGTATTTGATGTAGTCTTTCCTTGTTCAGTAGGTTCGTGTTGGTGTACACAGTTTGCATACATTTTTGGTGTCAGCACTCTAGAAATATCTCTTTCAACTTCCTTTCTTGAGTCAATATTTCCCTGGTGTGTTTGATGGATGAATCGGTCCAAGAAAGCCCTACCTTTCTCCTCATCAGTTTGGAGTGTCTTTCCTGACTCGTCCTTCACATTCACAGTGGTTTTTGAGTGACCCTGTCCACACATCTACTTTCGCAGTTTCCAGAACGTTGAGGATGTGATATCTACAGAAGAGGTTTCCAGAACGATAAAACATGCCAAGGACAGTGCTGGAGGGCTGGATGGTGTAAGATATTGCCACATGAAAGAGGCAGATGATGAGATGATTGAAGGAATAACAAAAGACTTCAACAAAAGCATTGGCACTGGTGAAATCCCTGAAGAATGGTTGCACAGCTGGTTGATACCAATCCCCAAACCAGGAAAAGACCACTCGGCTCTCAGTGGTTACAGGATGATAGCCATGCAGAACACCTATGGGAAAATTTTGGAAAAGCTAGTTGCCGGACGAATATCGGCACACTTAGAGAGGAAGTCCCTGTTGCCAAATGAGCTTGGCAGCTATAGACCCCATCGAGAAACCTCAGTGAATGCGACTGTCATGGCGTACGACATCTTTGAAGGCTTTCAGCAACGGAAGGAAACACTTGTGACGGCACTTGACCTTGAGGATGCTTACAACCGAGTCAGCTATAAACGTTTGATCGACCGCCTCCTGGAATTTGATGTAGACATATGGCTGGTGAGATGGGTAGCAGTAGCCCTGGTGAAGAGAAAAATGGCCCTGAGACAGGGTGAATGGACTTTAGATCCGGTATCAATTGCTCCTGGACTGCCCCAAGGATCCCCCCTCTCTCCTGTGCTTTTCAATGTGTACACTGCACAGGTAACGATGCATCAGAAAGAATCTGGACGTGTCCTGAGCTTTGCGGATGACATAATGGCATACGAGCACGGAGATGACAGACTTCAAATGGCAAGGAACATGGAGAAAAGACTTCACTCAGTAGTAAAATGGTGCGACCAAAATGAAGCAGTCATCAATCCTTCAAAGGCGCAGGTACTTTGGTGTTCCCTCAACAACAGGATTGTCTAAGACATAACTCCACCAATCACTTGCAACTATGAGATTATCGACAGACAGTCAGAGCTGAAGTATCTGGGAATCGTCTTCGACAGGTCGTTATCCTTCAACAAGCATGTGAATCATGTGGTAACAAAGGCCAAACGAGGTGTTAGTGCAATCAAGACCATGGCGGCCGCTCTGATTCCGCAAAGAGTGCTCCTCCTGATGTTGCAGCTGGTCGTCCTGTCTGTCATTGATTACGGATTGGGCTGTCTCACGCTGTCCGACACACAGATCGCAAAGCTGGATCGAGTACAGAATGAGGCAATGAGAGCAGTGCTGGGCTGCACCAAGGACACTCCAATATTGTGCATGCGCTACTTGCTAGGTTTAAGTGGCATCAGAGTACGCCATAGGATAGCTCAGGCAAAGATGTATCTCTGTGTAAGGGGCAAGAAGGATCATCCACTTCACAAAGCACTTCATGACTACAGGAGAGTCAGAATCAAGAGAGGAAAATCTTGGATGGCAGAAGCAGAGGATTCCCTGAGAACAATCTGTGTACCTGAGAGCCTACCACTAGGCGAAGAATGGGAACAGGTGGCCGGAGAATACAGGGACCTCACCAAGGTCAAAATAAGCATGGGCAAAGACAGAAGAAATGTTGCGGCTGCCATCAACGAGAACGATATCAACGAGATTGTTGACACAAACTCAAAAGCAGGGGATCCTATAATTTATACAGATGGTTCAGTGAAAAGAGATAGCCAGAGAAGTGGATGGGGATTTGTTGCATTCGCCAACAATAAAATCATACACAGTGCATCTGGAGCCTGCAGCAGGGCTACATCAAGTATGCGAATGGAAATTGAAGCCATCACGAAAGCACTTGATTGGATGACCCAAGATCGCCCCCACACAACCCATGCTGTTCTTGTCACTGATTCCATGTGTACCCTCAGAAGGATCGAAAAAGGTTTCCTGAGAAAATGGATTCAAGCTATCGAACCAACACCTATACGATCACTCACATGGATTTTCTGCCCTGGCCATGCAGGTGTTAGGGGAAATGAAAAAGCCGACAGATTGGCTGGTGAGGCCACCTTACTTGACAATACGGTTCAACCAGATAGGGTCGAGATCCTGAAATGTCTCTCTCGCCAGCTGATAGAGGAGGAAGATAGGGAGGCAGAGGCCAGTACTGCCGTGGAGAGGATGATGCTTTTGGGAATAAAAAAAGGAAGTGGAAAATCTGGCATCCTTGCAGGAAAGATAAGAAAAACATTCAACCAGATGTGCACTGGCACAATCAGTAGAAGGACCCTCGGCAACATTTTGGAGAGAGCAACGGAGCATCAATGGACATGTCCGGAGTGCAGGGATGTTGCTTCCTGAAACAATAACAATGGTGTACACAGTACCTCCAGTGGTGCAGGCTACTCAGTCGTTAAGCCATTCTTCTCCATGATGCACATTATGGTAATTCAGAGTCAGATATTCCAAAAATGATTTGTTGATGCTCACGTTCCAGAATGGTCTGATGCTTACTGGTCTTTTCATAGTGCTGTGTATTTCTTTTTCTCTTAGATTACAGTAGCCAAATCTTGTGGGCTCTTTCTTTATTTCACACTTAACTGTGACATGAATGATCCTGGTTCACATATCCAATCTCATCAAACAGGAAGCTTTTGTTTTTTCTTTTTGTCTCGTATTCTTTTTTCGGATGCCATGTTCCTGAGCTTATTCTTACCAGACAATCATTGCTATGATAACGTGATGAAGGAAATACAATGATGTTTCAGAACTACAAAAAAACGAAAAGAGGACATGAAGATGGTCAGCTCCATTAATCGGTTGTATTTTATTTAACGCTTAATCACTTATTCTAGACCACCATTTGTGGTGCAGCAGTTAGGCATTTAACTGTCTTATGCAGGAGACTGGAGTTCAATTCCTGAGTGGAGAGAATTTTTATTGAGTATCTTACTCTTTCTTCTGGGATCTGGTATCCTTCTTAGTCTGGGTTGACCCTGACTAGCAGGGTTGTAGTCCACCTTCTAAATAATGTAAATTGAGTGGATGTGGCGTTGGCATAAAATACACCTGAATTTAGTTTATTTTTAAAATGAGTTTTACAGGACCTGCTACACAAATAGGTCATGTAAGTGTGAAATATTACCTGTATTACTAGAGAGTAACATTCAAAGAAAGGAAGGAGGAGAGATAAATTCGATAAGATGTCTGCTCTAAAAGAAGGAACAAACCGTATAGTATCCACCAACCATCCATCATAAAACTTTGAATGTCCCCCCCCCCCTCCCTCCCTTTTTTACCCCCATGTATGATCCAGTGCTGTGGCAAAAGGTGACATCAAGGCTGTGGAGATGTGGCTGCTGGGAGGGGCAAAACCCAACTGGTATGACTATGACCAGAGGACCCCGCTCCATGTGGTAAGAATTCTTCTTTTCTTTTCCTTTTCGGTTATTTAAACGTTGTTGGTGGTGCTCTTTTTCTACTTCTTCTTCACCTCCTCCTCCTCCTCCTCCTCTTCCTCTCCTTCTTCCCACACCTCCTCCTTGTTCTTTGTATAATTGTGGTGAAAATATCAACGTGAGCCAGTGCTAGAACAGGAAGGGGAGATCTGACGTTGAATAAGGAGGGAAAATATCATCTATCATCGCCATAGTAATAAGACTGGCTAACCACAAAATATCAATTTTTTTTAAATTTATCAAATAGATAGTAAAGTAGGATTTTTCTACTTTTACTACTACATCTAAATTTTTGTAGCTAGGATGGTGAGCAGTTTCATTCATTTTGTGGTTTCAATCAAAATTAAAGATATACAAGATTCATGCGTTTTTTTATATGAGATTTCGAATCTTTCATTATTTTTCCATAAAATTCCGTCAAAGCTATTGTAGAATAGTTTTATAGAAATAGAATTCTGTATGGTGCTTTTGAGCATGTGCATTGTTCAGGGAGATGGCATCTTGGGTTACAAAGTTCACTGTGCGGGGTACGGGAGCTGTCACAAAGCGGTTAAAGTGTCCTTGTGATATAATTAACAAATTCCCTTTCATCCGATTGATCTCTCAGGCTATCAGCTTGGATAAAAAAGAAGTGGCCAGTCTGCTTATCAAGGGTGGAGCGTCCGTGGATGTGGAGGATGTGTTTGGCAACACGCCTGCCATTATTGCGCAGAAATTAGGTTATGATGACCTTATGCCCCTGATTAGTGGTGTCGTCAATGGCACCGCCAAGGACAGCAACGGTGAAGGAGGAACATAGGTGGTCTCCCCTGCCGCTGCTGCCCACACCCCAAGTATGCTGAACTGACCTGATGTGCTGATGTGAAGACTGATAATGAGTTTGGTAATTCGGCTGATTACATATAATTTTTAGATTAACTCTTTTTATGTCACAGTAGTTTCCACGGTTGTGCTGTTAGAGCAGATTTGGAGTTTGTGTTGAGAGAGAGGCTTTTACCAGACTATTTTAATGTAATAAAGTAGACCTGAATGTGTAATATGTAAAAATGAAGGCAAAAGAGTACAGTGAAAGAAATGATGACCCAGATTAGGACGGTGTGCAGTTCAGAAGGAAATGTCTTTCAGGGGAGTTTATACCATATCAATGAAATGTAACGAATTGACATTGAAATAGTCAAAATGCTATGCGTATTTTCTTTTAAGATTTTTTCGTGAAGGAGGAGAAAACAAAGAAAAAGAAAAGAGAAGGAATGAATGTGCTATTTTTAAGGGATGGCAGAGGTCAAAGTTTGTAATGACTTAAACGAACTCTAAGAAATTTGAGATTTGTGTCCACGTTCTTTTTCCTCAAGTGCCAGATCTGAAATTAGCATGAGCAATCATGGTAGGCTACTTCTTTCTCTGCTCGAATGTTTTAAAAAAGCGTGTCCATGTAAAAGTGTTAATTTTTGTTGAACATGTTATCTCTGCTCCTTGTGATGACGAGGCTTGTCAAAACAATTTATGTTGTGCATGGTCAGATATTAATCTTTATGGACTACTGCATCCTAATGCGGCTTACAGCCATTGTGTTGATCTGACCTTATTCTAGTCCGGCATGAGCCTGCAACAAGATATAGTTAACAAAGGGTCTTCCGCTGGCCTTGTCATCTGAACAGTTGTTTTACGAGCATCCCTTGGATGAAATATGTTGGTTGTCGATTACACTTGTATTAAATGCTGAACTAACTGGTCTTGGAAATAATGTAATAGTTTTTTCTATGATGTTTACCTTTTTTTAACACCTAGATTTTTGAAGATTAAGTGCTTAAAGTGTGCTCCAGACTGAAGAGAATTGCTTGGTATGAGACAAATCCATGTGACAATCAATGCTCCTGAATGACGTCTAAGTTGCTGCACTAAAAAAAATGGGATATTGAAGTGGCAAGACGATTATGTCCAAAATTGTTCTTGAGGGTTTTGCTTTTGTTCTCGACCAACTGTTTTTAATAAAATACTTAATGTGTGTAAGAGTGCAATTTGTAACCGGATGATTTTCTTTCAGTTTTGATGTATGAGCTGTGCTTTTTCCTCACTCAATTGAGAACTCGCCTGCCTCTTTTATGTTAGATCTGAATCACGCAGCTCAAACTGGATGGATACTAACTACATTTTTTGTAGTGGTTTCCCACAACAGCTGAGTGAACCTTTTTTTTTGGTGTTGTTCACTGAACCGCGCCATGCACAAGTTTATCGTTTAGCAACACTCATTTGTTTGTTCATCTGTGATCACACCATAGGTTTTATGTTATTGCAAAGGCCGATTGACTTTTCCCATCAGTCAAAACATTGTGATGTGAATGAAACAATAAAGTTTTGTTTTCCTGAACTTAAAGGCACAAAGCTTCTGTTGTTTATTTGTTTGCTGGTTACTTGTACAGAATGCTTTCGTAACTCATGTACAATCTTAGGGAAGATGTAGAAGAGACAGAATGAACTACTTTTGTCCTTGTAATAATTCTAGCATGCCATCTCTAAAGAGGGGAAACTTCATGCAAGGTGCGAATAGTATGATATTTTAACTTATTTTCAATTAATTATTTTAAAAGCGATTTCTGATGTAGAATGATGTCTAGGCATACCATCCTATTCAACATAGATTTTTGTTTGTGTGTACCCTTTTCTCTTTTATTTTAGAATTTTATCTTAAACCAACACTTTTGAAGTTTTATTCCGATGTTCTGTACAATGCCCTCAAAACACCAGTATTATAAGAGTTTGTGCTTGGGGACAAAAGGTCCAGTATATATTGCGGAATGTATTAAGGCCTGTGAGCTTTGTTATGTTTATGGAAGTCCCATCATTTTCTTTCTTGGGTGTTCCCTACCATCATACTCAGTGCTGTTGCAATTATATATCTGTCTTCTGGAATTTTTACAAGCTTATGTTTTCGTCAAGTTGGACATTTTTGTATCAGGATTTTATACTTTGACAATAATATATTGTTCATAAATCTAAGCTATCTTCCCATTTTGAGGTGTTCTAAAGACACCTGCAGAAATGTTGAAAAGCTGGGTTCATACAAGCTGTACCTCATGCTTGTGGAGTGTGCTCCTATTTTCTTTATGATGTACTCGGCTAGTGTATTACATATGGGTTTTTGATTATATGTACCCTTTGAAACCAAACCCTTGATCTGCTTACATTGTTCTTTTATTGTACTATTTTGACATTTATGTGACTCAAGAGAACAGAGAAAGCGGACCCCCCAGGGCGGTGCCACTGACTGAAGTGTCTTTAGGCCATTCCCAAAATGGGGACATTTCTCGTTCTAGTGCACAGTAGAATTGTAAATGGGCTGATCTAACAATGTCATGCTCATAACTGTGCCTGAACTACAACAGGGAACTGCTGGTTTTTCTTTCTTAATCCTTACTATCGTCATTTTCCTCTACTTTTTTTGTATGTTTGTCACACTTTTGTGACCCACTATTTCCGGGGTGCCTTGATAGTCGAAGCAGACTTTGTGCTGCTGAAGCTAGAGAGGTGAGCAGTCTAAGTCTGATTCCCTGTAAGGACTTCTCTGTTGACATCCACCCCTTGGCGCTCATATGACTTTATGCAGTGACGAGCGCCGTAAAACTTCTACTAAAACTAAAAAAGAGAAGCAGGCCGGCATCTGTGGTGTAGTTGCTAGGCACTTCACTGTCTCTCACAGAGGACCTGGGTTTGATTTCTATGTGGGGAAAATTTTTCTTGAATATCTTAGACCTTTCTGCTCGGACATTGTGTCAATCTCAGCCTGGGTTGGCTTGCTTCCTGAATTATATTGTTTCCACGGGGGCTCAAAACACCGTTTTACATTCTATATTTATTCTAATATTCAGAATCTGTGACTTTTTTGTTTGTTTTCTTTCATCAATTTTGAATGTGCTCATCTTTGATCAAATGACAACAATTTTTAATGAAAATGGTTTGATTTCTTTTATCCTGGATGTGGATTTAAGCCTGAATCTCTGTTTTGTGCAAGTGTTGATATCTCTGTTCAGTGATGCTTCTGAAATATCAGTCCAAATCTCCTCCTGAAGTTTTTTGCCTTCTGTCTCCAAAAATTCAAAACTATCTTAGGATCTGCATTCCTGATGATTTCAAGAATCTCTGCTGGTTTTATGACTAGTTTTGACGATAGAGTGGAATTTTCTCTCACCAAAAAGAAAAATATAAACAGGCTTCCAAGTGGACTTCTGCATATTCTAATTTTTTTATCTCTTGTGAGTCAGAGAGAGTTCCATTCTCAAAGGGATCTATTTGGTAAAGGCATCGAGGACTTCAGATATTTATATAGATGATAGATCCCCTGTTGACTGGTGTATAATTTTTCCCCGTTTTGTTTGTAGATGACCATCTGTCAGATGTTTGTTAGATGTGTTGACTGCTTGCGTGTATTTCAAATGTCGACAAAGACCACTTTTGTTTCAGCTAACGGGTTTGTTATATTATGTGATCTCAAAGAGTTAAAATAATCGGTATGTGAAAATAGTTAATGAGGAAAATGTAGTTGAGTTAGTGGCCCTGAAATTGTTTGGGATCTGATTATTTCTGTAATAAGGTTTTTTTTATTTGCATAAACATTGTTGATTTGTCTTTCATATTATGCACATGTGTCATGATGCGGTGGAATCATGGGCTCATCAATTGTGGGGCTTATGGAGTTATTGGTTTCCTCTTAAAGCCTGTCCATTTGACTTTTTTGTGATGAAAAAATATCCATTTATCTTGGATACAAGTCAAGACATTGGGGATTGAAGGTGGTGTGGGTCGCCTGGTTTCAGAGGTAAAATTAGTGAGAAAATGGCCGCCAAAGGTGAGTTATTTCCCTAGCTTGAGAGTCTGTGGATACGGATAATTTACATCATTTATGCCTTTGATCAACGTATTTCAGTAAATTACTCACAGAAATGTGTTCTATATTGGGCATGAAAGGTGTTGAACCAAAAAACAAAAATTCGTTTAAAATTCCCAAATCTGCGTAAAAATGCCAGTTTCTTAACTTTCTATATTTTGATAAGCACCTGATTTCACCATGCTGCCTCTTATTTATTGCTTAGCTCAGGTCCTGTGCGACCTTTGGAGAATTTTTGTATTGATGCTTGTTCAGTGAAACGTCACGAATGTGATCAACATTTTCATCAATTAAGAGAATTATTGCTGAGAAACCATTGAACTTTTATAAATGTATTTTTATGAAAAATACACCTACTGTTTTTATTGTTAATTTCTGTACGCTTGGTTCTATTTCTGTCCACTGAAGGAACTGATATTTGTGGTGTAGCGGTTAAGCACTTTGCTATCACACGCAGAAGACATGATTTTGTTTCTCAAGGAAGAAAGTTTTTTTATAGAGTATCTCCCTCAGTCTGCTGGGATATTGTATCTCACTCAGTCTGCTGGGATGTTGTCTCTCACTCAGTCTGCTGGGATGTTGTATCTCACTCAGTCTGCTGGGATGTTGTATCTCACTCAGTCTGCTAGGATGTTGTATCTCACTCAGTCTGCTGGGATGTTGTATCTCCCTCAGCATGGGATGTTGTATCTCCCTCAGCATGGGATGTTGTATCTCCCTCAGCATGGGATGTTGTATCTCACTCAGTCTGCTGGGATGTTGTATCTCCCTCAGCATGGGATGTTGTATCTCCCTCAGCATGGGATGTTGTATCTCCCTCAGCATGGGGTGTTGTATCTCACTCAGTCTGCTGGGATGTTGTATCTCACTCAGCATGGGATGTTGTATCTCACTCAGCATGGGATGGTCCTGACAAGCAGGGGGGAAGCAGCCCGCTTCCCAAATTTTCTTAGCTGTGATGATGGTAGCGTAAAACTCTTAATGTGTGGGGGTTGTTTCTCCCCGGATAATGCATAAATTCATTTTTGAATCAGACTGGGATCCAAACTGCTTTTTTTCTCATTCATTTAGGTCTCTGCCCGGTGCCCTGGACATTCCTGTTGTTGTGAGCAATTCCTGTGGCTTGTAATATTTTATTTTGCTTTTTTATTTTGAATTGTTGTTGTGAATCCTGTCAAGATTCCACACCAGACCTTTCTGACCAGGTTTGTGATCAATAATAATATTTGCATTTATATAATGCTCTGCAACAAGCGCCCTATGCACTTTACAACTATCATTACCCCCAACAGATCCTAAAGCATGATTCAGAAACATTTTCAGATTCCCGGAAAGCATACAGTGTAAGCCGCAGATTGCTGCACTTTCAGACCAAAGATCGGCATCTGTCCGCGAATTTGGTTCTGCTTTGAAACCCATTCATGGTTATCTTTGTTTTTTGATCCAGCCCCCTTAAAATTATACAATATTAATATTAAGGTGTACATGTGATGTGCATACGATACTATCTGTTTTCATTCATTTTTACCAAGGCTTGGTGAGTTGTGTGCTGCCTTTGCACTGGATATAATGATAACAGTCTGCCTGTGGTGGAGGTGTCCCTGGTTCAAATGTCCAACCTGGCATTCCTGAACTTGGGATTGTTAGAGGAGTTTTCATAGCACTCTTACCACGATGCTTAGTCTTTTTAAAGTTGGACATTTAAATTAGAGGCCCTGCTTTTTAAATGAACTTACTGTGTTAAATGGGTCATTGTATCGATACAGTTCCACATCTACTCATGGTCCCTTTTGTCATGAAGAACTTGCATGCAAATGTAGTGTGAAATACACAAAGTCGTGAGCTGGGATCATCTTGCAGGTCATGGGGGATGACATTTACGTAATAGATTCTACTTTAATGTCATGCATGTGTGGGTTTTTTTACCAGTTGCAATAATGATATAGTAATATTTAAATAATTCTTATATGGTTTATGTTTATTTGTTGTTATGTCTGTGATGATTCTGTTGTACTTTGTTGACAATTAGAGTTCTGAGTCTCACAAAAGAATGCTCTTTGAAGATATGTATCTGTGAGAATGTATTACTGCCTGCTTCATGTGTATTTTTAATAGTACTTCTCTCACATACTTCAATTATCATTGCTAATGAAAAAGTAATATTGTTCTTGGCCACACTCTTTGTTATTTGTATGATGATCTCCATATATTAAATGGTTATAGTGTTATAGGAAATGCTGGTATGTTTGTGGTTCAAACTATTTAATACTTTCAAAATGACAGTATGTCAAACAAACCAGTTCCCCCCCCCCCCCCCCCACCAGGGCAGTGCTACTGACTGAAGTGTCTTTAGGCCATTCCCTACCTATTACTGCTACAGTGGAACTCGGATTCAACGAGGTCGCCGGGCCTGACCTAAAACCTCGTTGAATCCGAGTGTTCGTTATAGTAAACACGAGGTTTTGTGTAGATAATTACAGGCACTGAGCAAGTAATGTATAAAGAGAAGTCACAAGTTGTTCCTGCAATGCCTGCATATTATGAGCTGTGTAAAAAAAAAAAGAACGATTCGTTCAAATGCACACGCCTGTGTCATCTCGATTGTTACCAAGAAAAAGTTGTGTTGCTGTGTAGAGACTAGCATACGGCAACTTTTGATTCTATAGACCAGCGCACAATTCATTAGGTAGATCTACGTCAAGACTAGCTCATTATTGTAATAATGATCAGTTACCGGGGGGAAAAAAAGACTGATGCGTTTGTATATATATATGCGACGTTCAACGCCCGGACCGCCAGTGCCCCCCCTCCCCGACAGGCACACACAGCCACAAGTGTGAAGGCCGCCCATCCGACCCCGACACATGCCAGAGTAGACACGTGCGCGTGCGAACAACGCATGCGTTGATCTTTTAAAAGGCCGCTGATTGGTCGCATGCAATCGGCAAAGTGAATAATTGTTCACGATGTAGGGGCAATGGATGGTTTCCGGGAATAGATAAAGTTCGTTCTGGGAGAAAAATTAGCGAAGCCACGTCTGCGGGGGCTGTTCACCCTGGAAGCGACCTCGTTGAATCCGAGCTGATTTTAAGTGCTCGTTGAATCCGGGTTACTTTTATTGATTTCAAAGAAGGAAAAAAACAGGGAATCTATCTCATCTCGGATGAATCCGAGCTCGTTAAATCCGAGTTCCACTGTATACTATTATTAGGCCTACTGACTGCAATATAATCTAGTTAAGTTAAACATTTTTGTTTGTCTTCTTTATGGCCTATGTTACGACAAACATAGTTGTCTTAAAAAAGTTGAATAAAGCAAAGTGTAAAGTAAGAAATCAAATAACTACTAATTCAGCAACAAAAATGTTGTGTCTGATCATTAGTGCCCAAACCAATATGGTCCATAAATATGTAAGTTTTCAAAATGCAGTAAATGATCATACCAACAGTATGCTACCAATGATGTCAGGTTAAGTAAAACGCACGTAAGCAAAATTCTGCTTATGAGATTAAAAATAATGTCTCTGCAAAACCCTAATCTTCACAAGAAAAGACAGGCTGAGATGTAAGACTCAGACTAAGAGCAGATGTTGCCAGAGAAAAGTGGTTTGGCCACCTGTTATGATTACCTAGTCGGCCAACTTCGAGAGGCTACAACTAACACTAAGTACTTAAGCTACAAAGGAAGAGGTAGGCCACACAAAAGATGGATAGAGGGAGTCAAAGGAACCCTGAGAAACTACGTCTCAATTGAAAGAGCTGCTGGTGTCCTAACCATAGAAAACTGCATCTCCCCTTGACACTCTGTGGCAGCAGAAAATGGAAAAGCACAAGTAAAAATAATAATGTAGATGGGAAATAAAATCTAAGAAGCAACAGAGAAACGGGAGATAAGAATAAAACTGGCAAATTATTTTCGTTATGTTCACTATGTTCATTACACCTCCCACTTGAAATGTGTGGGTAGAAAGTAAAACACATTTTGGCTTAGTTTGATAGTGGTTTTACAGCTCTTGCATCACTCCCGATCATTTAAGTACTGATGATAAGAATCGCAAGAGAGTAACAAACATCAAAGAGAAGGAGGGTAGTAAAATGAGGACGGTGCCTACCAACTCCCTGCAAAAAGGCTTGCAGAAGTGAGGTTTTGATTTTGTAAGATATTATAGGTAAGATAGATCTAGATTTCTTGCAGTACTTTCATATTTAGGTTCACCAGCCATTTTAAAAAATAGTTTTTATGTTTGTTTGGAAAGAGATGCTTAAGTGTATCTCCTTTTAAATTTCCTCTATGTTTTAGTAGCAAATATTGTTATGTGGTAGGTTGACTGAACTATGTGAACGGCAAAAGGAGTACAGAAGGCATGTCATATTATTATTTTATTGCATTTGTAGAAGTATTTAAATTTGAAGACAGTCTAATATAAGTTATTTAGATTTTTTATTATTAAAATTTACTAAGGAGATTTAATTTTTACTTGTTTTTAATCTTATACTGGTAGATGCTAAGTATGATTTATGTGTGTTGGAAAATAAAACTAGTGGTTTTACTAATATCTCTTCTCTTGTTTTCTTTGTGTTCTTTTTTTCTTTTCGATTTAAAAGAAATCAATCTTTGTCTGTGTTCGGATTTCTTTGATAGCCTAATAAAGTAATATTGGCTGGATCCTCTTCGTTGAATGTGAAAAAAGCATGTGAAATTAAATAGGCGAAAGAAAGTCTTTTCGTCGAGTATCTTCATTTTTCAGCTGGACACTGTGTCCTCCTCAGCTCCTGTTGACCCCCGTGAATGGCTGGAGGAGATCAGCGATTATAAATGTGTGTGTTTAGATGTCAGTGTTTCTACAAATAGAAGGAAGACATATAATACATGTACATGTGTATTAAATTTAACCCGAAAAACAATAACCCCCTCCCCCGGAAAAAAAGATCGCGCCAAAGTTGTTCATTTCTTTCTTTTTAAAAATTCCTTTATCCTCAATTAGTACATGTATCACGGCACGCATTTAAAGCCCAAGTGTCAAAACAATACCCCCACCCCCTCCCCCCCTCGTCCACACTGGTTAAGTCCCGAAAACCACCTCGACCAATGCGACCGGTGTGAATGAACTTTGTTGACTCCGACAGCCGACGGTCCCCGACACACGTGCTACTCACACGTACGAGGTCATGTCAAGTGATGCGAATGAGCGTTTGAAAGTTCCACTGACAGGTCTTGATGATGGGCCCGACTAACCAGAACTCAAACGAGGCTAGCTTTTAAAGCACCGGCAGAACAACAAATAGATTATTCATAGGCCCATATCATAATTGTTACAGTAACCAGGACACCATCGGAGAATTCTGGGTTATAAACGCGAAAGTAGATCTTGAGCGTATCCATGTCGGAATTCAAAATCGATACTACGTTGATTTTAGTTGAAATAACGTGCGTGAGTCATCTACTAGATTCGGCATAGATCCTTTAGAAAGTAGCGTTCCAAGTTCCTGCCGATAAAAAATCCAATCGGTGCTTACAAGCAAAAGAGATTGCAGAACTTTTTATATTCTTTCTAAAAATCGGACGCAACAACAAAAAATCAGGATACTGGCGATCGAAATCAGGAAAATCGGGATGCTTGAGATTTGGGGCAAAAATTCGGGATATCCCGATTAAATCGGGATGAGTGGCAGGTGTGCTTACTTATCAGTACCAAGCATCACTAACCATTTAGATCTGTTAAAAAATTTCAAATCCACACAAAGATAACATTTTCAACAGGATACAATAGCCAGAAATTCTTGAGTTCCAAAAAATATATGTCACGACGCAGCGGAATCAAGCACTCGTCAATTTTAGGGTAAATGGAGTTATTGGTATCATTTTAAAGGTTTGTTCATTTGCCCTGTATTTGATTTAAAAAATAACCATTTATCTTGAATAGAAGTTGAGATATTTGCCATTGAAGGAGGCGGGGTCGCCAGCTTTCATCAGTAAAATAAGCAAGATAATGGCCGCCAAAGTTTGGTGACTTTCATAGCTCAAAATTCCTTGGAAACTGCAAATTTACATTTTTCTTGCCTTTAATCAGTTTTTCCATAAAATCCACACATAAGAATGTTTTTGATTGGCCATACAAG